GGGCCGGGGGCCTGGACCCCTGGGTCCAAGGGAGGAGGAAAGAAAAGGCCGGATCCCGGAACCGTGGGTTCCAGTGGATATTTAGGGTCTCGGTGATCAACTCCGATAGCAACTCCAATTCCCAGCTCTCTGGGCACAACCAGTGGCCAGTCCTGCAGTCCTTTGCCCTAAAGCCTGTTGAGGGTTTTGGTGTCTTGGGCCCCAGCCATGCGGGAATCCTTGAGCTGTTGGTGGTGGGGATGGCAGCTGAGTGCAGGGGAGAAGCGCAGCCTGCGGTCGCTTGGTGCATCTTGAGCCAAAAAAGGAAGAGTGTTGGGAACTCAGAGGGTGTCCGTGGAGAAGGGGAAGGGCTCCGGGCCCCCACATATTTCCAGCACCCCATAAGGGGCATGCCCAGTCTGGGTGCGCAGTGAATTATCCCTTGAATCTTGAATGAATGAATGAATGAATGAATGGCATGTGAACTCCATGAGAGAGAGACCAGGTACACTGGGGCTGGCACCAAGGACTTGCTCAGGAAACCTGTGAGCGGAGAAGGGATGCGGCCTGAGCTGGGGGTTGGACTGGGCTTCCGGGTGCCTGGGTCCCCATGGTGACTCCAGTCAGGAACGGGGAAGGGTGGGGGTGAGTTACTGGTGTCTGGGGGGTGAAATTTGAGTCCAGCTGTTTCCACGGTGAAGGGGTGAGTAGGGAAGCGAAGAGGAAAGGGCGGTGGCCACACTCCTGAGACCCAGGCCTCATGGGCGTGGACGAAGCGTTGGAAGTGTGAGGGGCAGTGGGTGCCGAGTTTCCAGATGACCCCCGTTTCCATGGGCAGCAGGGGGATCGGTGGGAGAGGCTCATGGGGAGAGGGAAGGCCTGTAGGAGGTGGGTCTGCTTGGTTGGGGTTGGGAAGGGTTGGGATTCCTGGATCCATGTGTTTTTTTGGCCTCAGGTAAGGTCCGGTAGGCTGTGTAGGGGGGTGTGGGGGGGGGGGGCAGGTTCTCAGCCTCCTGATGGTGGTTTGGGGCCAGTGACCCATGTTCTTGGGTTCTAGCCTCTACTGAGGCGAGAGTAAGTGGGAGGGGCCTGGTGACCACGTGGAGGTCAGGATGTCCAGACTCTTGGTCCCAGAGCCAGGAGGGTCCCTAGGTTGGGTGCCTGCATCGCCTCATTCCGGTGGGAGGGAGACGTGTGGGGAGGAAGGCGGGTTGGGGGCAGGTGGCCACGGAGCTGAACGAGCACGCTGGCTTCTCCCGTTTCCCTCTCCTTATTAGAAGTTATGGCCCTCGCTGGTTTGGCTCAGTGGTTAGAGCATCAGCCTGGGGGCTGAAGAGTCCTGGGTTCGATTCCGGTCAAGGGCACATGCCCAGGTTGGGGGCTCGATCCCCAGTAGGGGGCGTGCAGGAGGCAGCTGATCAGTGATTCTCTCTCATCATTGATGTTTCTATCTGTCTCTCCCTCTCTGAAATCAATAAATTAAAAAAGAATTAAAAACAAAAAGAAATTATGAAATACTCCAAAGTGTCAGAAAATAATATAACAGACACCTACGGACCCATCACCCAGATTTTTGTAAACAGATTTATTGAGATATAATTCATAGCCCATACAGTCTACCCCTGTAGAATATGTAGTTTATTCGCAGAGGGGTGCATTCTGTCAATCAATTTTAGAGCATTTTCATCACCCCAAAAAGAGACCCCATTCCTCCTAACAGCCGCCCTTCAATCCTCCCATCCCCCCGCCCTAGGCAACCACTAATTGTCTGTGTGGACTCGCCTGTTCCGGACGTTTCACATAAATGAAATCACACAGCGTGTGGCCCTTTGTGCCTGGCTCCTTTCACTCAGCGTGATATGTTGTAGGTTCACCCATGTTGTATCACGGATCAGAACTGCCTGTTCCTTTTTATGGTTGAAGAATGTTCTATTATAGGGCGACACCAAATGTTATCTCTCTGTCCATCAGTGAGGATGGTTGGGGTTGTGCTCAGCTTCCGGTTCTGAATAACGCTGCTGTTCTCATCCACGTGGTTCTCCAGGGGGGTCTTCACTTGTCCCAGGTCGTGTTCACTCATCTCTCCTCCCCCGCATGAGAAGGGGTGGTGGCTGGCTTCACTCTTTGGAGAGCCAGGGGCACAGGGGGCCTTGGTGCCTGCCTTTTGTTTTGGTTTTTAAGTATATTTTTATTGATTTCAGAGAGAAAGGGAGAGGGAGCGAGAGAGAGAAACATCAATGATGAGAGAGAATTGTTGATTGCCTGCTTCCTGCATGGCCCCCCCCCCCCCCCACTTCCGCCAGGGATCGAGCACGCAACCAGGGCATGTGTCCTTGACCGGATTTCAAACCTGGGAGCCTTCAGTCCGCAGGGCAACGCTCTATTCACTAAGCCAAAACGGGCAGGGCAGTACCTGCCTTTTGCATGAGCTCAGCACCTTAGTACATCATTCATTCAAACCCAAACATTGAGCCCTGAGCTGAACAGTGAGGTGTGGGCTGTGCCCTTCATTGGACACACATCCATTGGAGCCAAGAACATTGGTTTACTGGGCTCCCTCGTAAAAGTGAGGTTACCGGGGAGATCGGGTTCCCCTGGGAGGCCCTTCCTTCTGTCTAGACACCCGGGGACCCTAGAACTAACCTGGCAGGGGCGGGGGGCAGGGAGAGCAGGCTGGACCCGAGGACCTGCATATGCAAAAGTAGTGACCGAGCTGGGCCCTCACAGCACAAGGGCGGCTGGGAAACCCGCAGGCCAGACCATGCCCGGCTTGATGCCCGCTCTACGTTACTGCCTGTCCTTACAGCTACAGGTGACGGGAGGACTTCCTCCTTCACCAAGTGTGTGCTAGGCCGTGGGGAAGGAGCTGGGGTGAGACAGACCTGGTCTTCATCTCCCTGGGACTCAGGGTGTAGTGGGGTCGCCCAGCAGCATTGATGGTGACAGCCGAGAGGGTGGGAGGGACTGGGGGGCTGTCGGCCGGCCTGTGGGGAGGAGCGGCAGGACGGACAGAGGAGGAGTTGGTGGACACGGGGATGACGAGGGCTCTGACGTGTCTTCTCCGCCCCCAGACGGCCACAACCAAAGTCCCAGAGGTCCGCGACGTGACAAGAATCGAGCGCATTGGTGAGTGAGCCCGGACCAGGAGCAAGACAGACCCTGCCTGCCCTGTGCACCCCTGGAAAGCCAACCTGCCCAAGACCCCCGAGAAGCATACAGCCTGCGTACCATCCCCCTATCTGGGCGGGGGGGGGGGGGGGCTGAGTTCCAGAGAGGTGTCAGATGGCACGTGGGGCACCCTGCCGGACCCCAATCCCAGGCTGCAGGCTTCGCTGCCCTGTGGGCTCCCGGGTGCCCCAGCATCCTGGTTGGAAGTCCCAGGAGTGGGAGTTTGCCGAGTGCTTACGTTTGGGTGGGCTGAATGGCCCATAACCCCGGGCCGGACTCGGCATCAGCTCCTCCGGGCAGGGACCGGGCCTGCCTCATTCCCAGCTGTGCCCCCAGCACGGACGTGGCAGAGCAGGTGCCATTGAATGCACGAGTTCGATCCCGTTGAATCCTTGCAGTTGCCCCGCGAGGTGCACATTGTGACTGTCACCCCATTTTAGCTGAGGCTCAGAGACTCCAGTCACCGGTCCCAGCTCACACCGTGCGTGAGCCACGGGTGGTCCGGCTGTGATGTCTTCTAAGAAGAGCCCTCTGGTTTACTGAGCATTTAGCATGTCCTGCCTTCCTTCAGTGAGGGGGGGAGTCAGGCCCCGCCATTCGGCCAAGGAGGAAACCAGGGCCCGAGGGGAAGCCCCTCACCTCTGGCCACACACCGCCACGAGCTGGCCAGTAACTGCCTTCCGGTCCTTTCTCTGCTCACAGGCGCTCACTCCCACATCCGGGGGTTGGGGCTGGACGATGCCTTGGAGCCGCGGCAGGTAGAGCTGATGGGGGCGGGTGGCAGGCCTGCTCCCTGGAGGCCTCGGGTGGAGGTACCCACGCCCCCGGGATTATGTTCTTCCAGACCTTTAGCTACCTGTTTATAAAATTCAGCCCCGTGTACACTTTTATTGGTCTTAGAAAAATGGGGGTGGAGAAGGCTTTCTTGGCTTTTCCCCAACATCCCAGCCAACATCCACTTTCACATCACGAGGCAGGAGGTGGCAGAACGCAGGGGTGGCCCAGTAGGAAGTCACCTGGCGTCTCTCACCTCCCACCCCCAGGCTTCCCAGGGCATGGTCGGCCAGCTGGCGGCCCGGCGGGCAGCGGGCGTGGTGCTGGAGATGATCCGGGAAGGGAAGATCGCAGGCCGGGCGGTCCTCATCGCCGGCCAGCCGGGCACGGGGAAGACAGCCATCGCCATGGGTAAGACACCTCTCGGGGCAGGAGCTCTTCCGGTCTCTGCCAGGTAATCCCTCCCGTGGAAGTCCAGGTCAGATTCAGGCGCATTTAACAGAAACCAGACACGGCTGTGGCTTAACCACGCACGGTTCATTCTCTCGGGGAGAAGAATGAATGTAGGCCATTTGCGGCCTGGTGAGCGGTTCCAGGAAGCCGCCTACCTTCCCGCCTCGACGTTCTCTGCACTTGTTTCCCCGTGGGGATCACTCTGAGCTCCAAGAGGGTTGCCGGAGCACCAGCCTTCCCACCCAAACTCCTGGAGCAGGGAGAAGAGAGGAACTGCAGTCAGGTTCTACTAGATGGAGCTCCCCTAAGCACTTGTCTTGGGCGTCCCACACACTTTGGCTCATATTTTATTGACTAGAATTTTTTTCATAACTTATTTGTATTGATTTCAGAGAGGAAGGGAGAGGGCAAGAGATGAAACATCAATGATGAGAGAGAATCATTGAGCAGCTGCCTCCTGCACACCCCCTACTGGAGATCGAGCCCGCAATCCGGGCATGTGCCCTGACTGGGAATCAAACCGTGACCTCCTGGTTCATAGGTTAATCTCAACCACTGAGCCACGCGGGCCGGGCATATTGGCTGTAATTTAATCGTATGGTGACTCTGCTGCAGGGAGGGTGAGACCTGAGGATAGATTTTCTATCTTAATTTGGACCGTTGCTACCTTAATGAAAGGGGTTTCTGTTGCTAAGGAAGAAGGTGGCATCGATTAGACGCCAGAACTCCCTTCTGCGATTCACTGGCAGGTTAAGAGCTTTATACTCATAACTGCCCCACATCCTTATTGAACGACCCGTCCTTCCAAACCTACTGAGGAACCTCTTGCTCGCTGAAGCCTTCCTTGGCCCTCCTATCTTCCCCCTCGCTCCCACCTTCGTGCTCAGACTGCGAGGCCAGGCGGTGAGAATCAAGGAACAGCCGGGTTTCAGTTAAGATGAAGCAGCACTTGCCCTGCCGGTGTGGCTCGTTGGGTGTCGACCTCTGCACCAAAGGTTGCAGATTCCATTCCCGGTCGGGGCACATGCTCAGGTTGCAGGCTTGACCCCTGGTAGGGGGCGTGCAGGAGGCAGCTGATTGATGTTACTCTCTCACATCGATGCTTTTCTCTTTCCCTTCCTCTTTCTCTAAAAGAAAAGATATATATATATATATATAGATATATCTATATATATATATATCTATATCTATACACACATACATACTAGAGGCCCAGTGCACAACATTCATGTACTGGGGAGGGGGGTCCCTCAGCCCGGCCTGCGTCCTCTCGCAGTCTGGGACCCCTCAAGGGATGTCCACCTGCTGGCTTAGGCCCGCTTAGTTGGGGGAGCAGGCCTAAGCCGGCAGGCAGACATCCCCCGAGGGGTCCTTAGCACTGCTGCGGAGGTGGGAGAAGCTCCCGCCACCACCGCTGTGCTTGCTGTGAGCCCGGCTTCTGGCTGAGTGGCGCTCCCCCTGTGGGAGCGCACTAACCATCAGGAGGCAGCTACTGCATTGTCTGCCCCCTGGTGGTCAGTGCACATCATAGCGACCGGTCATTCCACCTTTCAGTCGATTTGCGTGCTAGCCTTTTATTATATAGGATGTGATGAAGCAGCACTCATCCCAGGGTCCTGGTGTGCCGGGTGTGCGAGCCCTGGCCCAGACACTGGGAACACAGATGAGGCAGACCAAGCCCGACCTTAGGAAGGTGGTTGTGTGCTGTCATGGACAGAGGAGGCTCCTGACCTGCGGGGTGGGGACATAGTGGCGGTCGTCGGAAGAGGCTTCCCAGACGTGCAGGGTGTTGGAGCGTCCCGGACAGACAGCAGGGAGCAGGTCTCCGGGCGCAGAGTGTGACGCATCTGAAAAGGGGACAAGGAAGAGTTCCCACGGCACACGGTCAGGAGGGAGCCGGGACGTCTGTCTGAGATGTGGCTCGGAGCTGGCAGGGCCCCCGGAAGGGCTGCTGGGAGGGGGGCTCAGGGCTTGGTGTCCTCGCAGGCACGGCCAAACCCAGGCCTCACGCCATGGAGAAGGCCGGCCCGTGCTGGGAAGATGATAGGGTCAGAGTTCATCCTCACGCAGTGCGGTCTAATCCAGGGTCCTGCGGAGGCCCCTGCCCCTGGCTTCCTTTGCGTCACCCTGTCTGCCCCGCAGCACCAAGAGCTGGTGTTGCCACAGAGTGGATTTTGGGGGACATGGTGCCAGGGCCGCCCCCACCCACCCAGGCCACCCTCTCCCCAGGCATGGCGCAGGCCCTGGGCCCGGACACCCCGTTCACAGCCATCGCGGGCAGCGAGATCTTCTCCCTGGAGATGAGCAAGACGGAGGCGCTGACGCAGGCCTTCCGCAGGTCCATCGGCGTTCGCATCAAGTGAGCACAGGGCCCCGGGCAGGGGCGGGGCAGTTCCCAGCAGCCTCGGGACCACCCCGTCCCAGCAGCTCGGCCTGTGCCCAAGGGCTGATGGGAGTTAGCGACTCCCCAGGGCCAGGTCAGGTCCTCTGCTCAGACCTGCTCTCTGATAGGGAGGAGACGGAGATCATCGAAGGGGAGGTGGTGGAGATCCAGATCGACCGGCCGGCCACGGGGACGGTGAGTCTGCCCGAGTCCGGGCCACCTCCAGGCGGGAGGGTTGCACTGAGGTCGGAATCCCATGGAATGTTCCACTGCAGATCGGAGCATCTGCCTGCCTACAGTAGGGGTTTATCTGAATGGATAGCAGCTCGTTCATTTGTGAGGGACACCGTGAGCAGTTAAAACAGAGTGGTAGAGCCCTGGCTGGTTTGGCTCAGTGGATAGAGCGTCGGCCTGCAGACCGAAGGGTCCTGGGTTTGATTCCAGTCAAGGGCACATGCCCGGGTCACAGGCTCGAGCCCCCTGGGGGGTGTGCAGGAGGCGGCCGATCCATGGTTCTTTCTCATGGATGATGTTTGTTTCTCTCTCCCTCCCTCTCCCTTCCTCTCTGAAATCAATAAAAATATATTTAAAAACACACCAAGTGGTGGAATAAGAGAAGGTCTGGAAGTTTCTTCAGGGAATTCCTAACCGTCAGGCTTAAATGCCTGCCCCGTGGGATTTACACAGCTCAGATTCTCTCCCCTTTTTTAACCCAGTGGTTCTCAACCTTCTGGCCCTTTAAATACAGTTCCTCATGTGGTGACCCAACCATAAAATTATTTTCGTTGCTACTTCATCACTGTCATGTGGCTACTGTGATGAATCGTCATGTAAATATCTGATATGCAGGATGGTCTTAGGCGACCCCTGTGAAAGGGTCGTTCGACCGCCAAAGGGGTCGCGACCCACAGGTTGAGAACCGCTGTTTTAACCTAAGACTTTTTTTCTAACTTTTTTGTTGTAAGTAAAATAGATACAAAGAGACATCTAAAAGAAGCATGTAGTCTAATAAGTGATTATGAAGCAAATACTTTCATAACCACCCCCAAGAGCAAAAACTAGAACTTTGCCAACCCCCAGCGCCTTCTTCCTTCCTCCTTCTACACCCCCCAAGTCTCGAGCAGAAGTAGCCACCCTCGCTCGTTATCACGTCTTTGCGTTTTATCACCATCGTGCGTTCTTATACACCATAGCTCCTACTGCGCATTTTTTAAATTTCATGTCTCAAGTCTTTTTCATGGTTTGGTTTCCCCTTTATCTCTCCTATTTACCTAATAATTTATCTGTTGGTCTCTTATTTTTTTTAATTTATTGATTTAGAGAGAGAGAGAAGCATTTGTTTGTTGTTCCACTTATTTATGCATTCATTAGTTGATTCTGGTATGTGCCCTGACTGGGGGTCGAACCTGCAACCTTGGCGCGTTAGGACGACGCTCTGAGTACCTGGCCAGGGTGACACCCTCTTTTTTTTTAAAATATATTTTATTGATTTTTTACAGAGAGGAAAGGAGAGAGATAGAGAGTTAGAAACATCGATGAGAGAGAAACATCGATCAGCTGCCTCCTGCACATCTCCTACTGGGGATGTGCCCGCAACCCAGGTACATGCCCTTGACCGGAATCGAACCTGGGACCTTTCAGTCCGCAGGCCGACGCTCTATCCACTGAGCCAAACCGGTTTCGGCAGACACCCTCTTTTTTTAATTTGCCACCCCAATAAGAATTTTAAAAGTAAAAACAGTAGAATATTTAAATATAAGGAAAGCTATTCTCAAGCTAGTTCTCCTGTACACCCTACGCTAGGGATCAAGCCCGCAACCCGGGCATGTGCCCAGACCGGGAATCAAACTGTGATCTCCTAGTTCATAGGTCGACGCCCAACCACTGAGCCATGCTGGCCGGGCCAGCTTATTTTTGTATTTTTTGTGTGTTATCTTTTAGGATTTCGTTTGTTTACTGGGTTTTTTATAATAGCTTTGTGGAGGAGCAATTGACATGCAATAAGCTGCCCACATTGAAAGTTTCAGGATGTTCAGTTTGACATACGTGTGCACACATGAAGCCGCCGCCAGTCATGGCAGCGAACACACCCATCACCTCAGCTCCCCTGCGGCCCGTTCCACGTGGTGTGGGAGAGACGCTGGGGCCTCTCTGAGCCCTTGCCGGCGTGTCGCCTCCTCAGGGCTCCAAGGTGGGCAAGCTGACCCTCAAGACCACCGAGATGGAGACGATATACGACCTGGGCACCAAGATGATTGAGTCCCTGACCAAGGACAAGGTCCAGGCCGGGTGAGCAGCGGCGGGCCGCCCCGCGCTCAGGGTGGGGGAGCTCGGGCACCTCCCTTTCCTCACTCCCGCCTCCTTCCCCTGCAGGGATGTGATCACCATCGACAAGGCCACGGGCAAGATCTCCAAGCTGGGCCGCTCCTTCACACGCGCGCGGGACTACGACGCCATGGGCTCCCAGGTGCTCCGGGCCCCTGGGCACCCTCCCTCCAGGCACCCGCATGTTCCCCTGGATCCTCCCGTCAGGCAACCCCCTGTCCCTAGTACTCCTGGCTCTTCCCTGTACCCTCTGGGCTCTTAGCTACCTTCTGGGCCTGAGGTTTCCAGGTTACCCCCATCTGGATTCCCAGCCCCTTTCCAGGGAGCCCCTGTGGGCCCCCTTCATGCTCTTCTCTGCCTTGTCTCCACCCCCTACCCCACCCCCATGCTGCCCCGCAGACCAAGTTCGTGCAGTGCCCAGACGGGGAGCTCCAGAAGCGCAAGGAGGTGGTGCACACCGTGTCCCTGCACGAGATCGACGTCATCAACTCCCGCACCCAGGGCTTCCTGGCCCTCTTCTCAGGTGAGGCCCCGCCATCCACTCCTCCCGCCTGCTCACCCCTCCGCACCCCGCTCCCCCCTCCCCCCATCCTCCCATAGGGCCCGCCCCTGCCCGGGCTCTTCCTCAGCCCCTGGCTGTCTTCTGTTCTCCCC